GTCCTGTCCACCATTAAAACCATCTTTCCAAGCAGCCTCCATGTCTCCAGTGTCTTTTTCCCCACTTGGAGCCGAACCCAGAAGGACATTTCTTCATCAGTCCCCCCTCCCCAACTATTGACAACACAAACTAGTGGGTCTGGGTTAATCAGAAGTTCAGGGTTCAACTATGGAGGGCTTGGTACCCATTTAGCTTGTTTCTTTGCAGATGTTTCATTATCCAACTAGCATCTTCAGTTGGTCAGGAAATGGGGGGGGACGGACAACAATACGAAGCTCAGCAAGGACTCCAGAGTTTTGTCCTTTGACATTAGCGAGAATAAGTCAATTTCTGGAAAATAAGCTTACTACCCAGAGGTAGGTTCCTACCAGTTTGCACCTATTCGGTAGAACCGGTTTGTCAAATCTACCAAACCGGTTAGAAGAGGTTCCACCGGAAAGCAGGCCACACCTACAGAAGAGGTTCCAAAATTTTTTGAAACCCACCACTGCCACTACCAAATATAGTTATATTGTATACAATTCTTCCCTTTTCAGTAACAAGTGAGAAATTGCTCAAGTGTGAAGAAGACTTGGCTGCAAATGAGAGTTGCAAAATGTGTTATTTACACTTCACCAACTGTACATCCGTTAAGAGGAATATGAAATTCATTTGAAGTCGAGTTTCACCAAAACAATAAAGTGTATATATCTTTTTTAGAATAGAATGAGATGGAAGGGACCTTGGAGGTATTCTAGTCCAGCCCCCTGCTGAAGCAGGAGAACCTATACCATTTCAGATAAATGACTGTCTAAACCAAGGGTGTCAAAATGGCGGCCTGCAGGCCAAATGCATCACATGGAGACCACGCCCATCCCAGCTCCATGAAGGGTAAAACCATCTTGATACATCACATGACGGCAACGTGGCGCTGTGAGTTTGACCCCCGTGGTCTAGACTCTTCTTAAAAACACCCAGTGATGGAGAGTGCCCACGATTTCTGGAGGCAAGCTGTTCCACTGGTTAACTGTCCTCACTGTTTAGGAAGTTTCTCCTTAATTCCACATTGCTTCTCTCTGTCATAGAAGATTTCAACTACTGGAAACGATAAGAATTGATAAGGGCCAAGCCTTGTGCCCATGAAGTAAGTTGTACTAGTGGTGTCATTCCTCTATAATTGAATTGAATTGAATTGAATTTATTGCACTTATATGCCGCCCTTTTCCCCGGAGGGCGGCTCACAATCCAAGTCAGGGAAGGGGATACAGATAAGGGATAAAAAAGACAAACAAAACAATACACAATTTAAAAGCACACAACAACCATACCATTCGAGAAGGGGGACACAAACTCTTTAGCCCCAGGCCTGTTGGAACAGCCAGGGTTTAAGGGCTTTGCGGAAGGCCTGGAGGGTGGTGAGGGTTCTCTCCTTCATGGCTGAATATAACAGTAGACGCTGGTTTTCAACAGCTGTCCAATCACTAACGAAAACTAATTGACAGTTTTAGGTGCTTCTGGTAACACACCACCCTGATTTTCATTTCCATCAAAACC